ACGGTTCATCATCTGGCACTGAAAGGCGTTAGATTGTGACAGCGTAGAAGTTCGTAATGGTGCCGAAAATCAGTTATGCCTATTCGTACAGAAAATTCTTAATCTGAGTGTTTTTTTTCCTTCTTTGTATTTGTGATTTGTTTGCCTACCCAACCTCTAGGGAAGTTTATGGCGGTGGAAGTTGACGTAGGATCGGCGTTTGCATTGCATGCATGTCACGTGTACGTGTTTAAGGTGACCTGCAGTATTTTGGCCTGTATGAATCAAGTGCGCATGCGTGAGGCTGGACGTGACACGCGCGCCTATCCAGATTTCTGAACCCGGCGTGAACCCCGCCCAAACTTTTCACTACATCACACCCGCGCTTTCATTGTTGCTCTGTTGTCTTGTTTCTAATCCAAATATCCACAAGCTCACCTAGGGTTCAACCATTGTGGTCGTACATAAATCACGTCGCGCACTCTTGCTCCGGCTGTGCACTGGTCACGCTGAGCTCCCCACTGGTTACGTCGTGTCAAGTGTAACTTCCCAAAAAAGTAGCACCCGTTTGATCTGTAACTGAGCAAGGGAGGGGGGCTTAGACACATCAACCACGTTGTTTATTGCGCTGCTGCTGAGCAGTAGATGCGCAGCAACTAACGAGTGCATTCCTTATCATTGTAGGAAGCTAACGGTATCCGGCTTTAATGTTTTAGATTGTTGTTGTTTTAAATATTGTTACATTATTTGCAGTCGCCCATGTGCTTGTGCGGTGTCGTCACCTAAAAGCTCAGCATCAATGTAAATTTGGCCTTAATGGAAGGCGAAGAATCTCTGTGTTCCGATATTGAGAAGGAACAAGCGTCTGACTCCCAAGTTTGTTTTAGATTTGATCGGACGTTACGCTGTCCAAAACCTCCCTCCGCCTCCCCTGCTTGGTTCTGTGTTGCTTATGGTCCCTTCCGGCGTAGCGTAATCTACGAATGGCCCCATTTGCACAAATTCGAGCAATTTGTCACTAGCCTGGTGTGTACCCGTGTTGGTCTGCGTTCACACCTGCGAACCTTGTCGGTGACCTGCGGTCAACCGCGTACAGTGGATGCGGAGTCTGCTCGGCGAACCTCGCCGGTGACCTGCGGTCAGCCGCGTACATTGGATGCGGAGTCTGCTCTGCGAACCTTGCTGGTGACCTGCAGTCAGCCGCGTACAATGGATGCGGAGTGCTCTGCGAACCTTGCCGCTGGCCTGCGGTCATCCGCGTACAATGGATGCGGAGTCCGCACTACGGACCTTGCCCCTGACCTGCGGTCATCCGCGTACAATGGATGCGGAGTCTGCACTGCGGACCTTGCCGGTGGCCTGCGATCAGCCGCGTACAGTGGATGCGGAGTCCGCACTGCGAACCTTGCCGGTGACCTGCGATCAGCCGTGTGCAGTGGATGCGGAGTCCGCACTGCGAACGTTTGTCCGCAGTGCGGATCTCGGTTCCACCCCACGCCAATGAACGTCTCGACCTCTCTGCGAATGGAGCGCGCCAACAGATCGGAGCGAAACTACCCTTTGGTATGTCTTCTTGACTCGAATCATGGCAAGCGAGTAAGAGAACGAACATGTTATATTCGTCCACCAGATAACCACTAAAATGTAGACGGCTTTGGTGGCAAACATTAAGACTTTAGTGGCAACCATTGTAAGTCTGCGTAGATTTAGAGACTGGACCACAATAATTTCAGTTAGAATGGACTAGATTCATGCACTTCATATACGTATAAAGTTTTATATATATATATATATATATATATATATATATATATATATATATATTGTGGTGCGGTTAAAAGTAGGCTTACCCATAGGCATAACTGGGACACGTACACCGGCGCGGGCAAATACGTAATCACACATGGGCTGGGACATCCAGTAAATGGCGGCATCGTTGTCTCCAGACTTTCACCTATAAAATAACATTTTTACTTGTACGTGCATTAGAGGCTCACAGCATTCGGGTGTGTCTTTGCACTCAAGTAAAGCCACGCGTGTTGGCTGCGCTCCGATTTTCCGGTCTGTCCGCGCGACGTCGCGAGCCTGCCGTGCAGAGGCGCGATGGGTGGCGGGGCTGTGTGATGATGTGCGGCTGCCCTTCAGGATTGGACGTGCAGTGAGCGGTGCATACGAAGGACGTTTGCGTGCTCGCTGTGACAACAAAAGATTCTTTAGGTCTTGAAAGCCTGCCGATTTCTCGGGATGGTTTTGGCTTTGCATAGCATGCAAGTGGCGAAATATGTTGTTTTCAGAGCCGCTACGTCATACCAGTAAAGAAATGGCTGTAAATGTTAAATCTACCCAATTTCATCAGGGTGAGATCATGTAATATCCATTTTATTCGCAATGGCTTCTTTTCATGCCAAAGTGTTAAACGGCGCATCCCAATGTTGCGAAAGGGTAACTTTAGCTGGATTAATTTTGGTTCTGTAAATAAACATACCAGTGCGTTGGACAGTTGGCTGCAGTGTGCTGCCATAAATTAAGAGTGCGACTTCTAATTCGTTTTGTTGCTGGAAAGCCTGTTGTCCCTAGAAGAGCAAACTAAACACAAAGTGATACTGGAATAGGCATCGTCACGCTGAGTTGAAAATCCCTGCCTTGGAACAGGCTCCGCGCAACTTCTAAGAACGCTGTTCTGCTGATTTGTACGTGATCCCGTTTGCGAACTACCTCGTGCAAACTCTGACAGTTGTTGTGGATCACTGAAGACAACGCCGTCATGTATCACTGAAGACAACGCCAACGTTTGACCCGCCGCTCAAACCCTACTTCTAAGGAAGCCTCCGTTAGAACTGGCATCCGACTCCCACGCGTTCGAGGAGGCCGACCGAGTGGCGGCCGGCGCTGACGCGGGTCGGTGTTTCAGTGACGCTACCCGCTGACCTCCCCCCCCCCCCCACCTCCGCCCCCGCCCGGGGCCGGCCGGCCGCTCAGTTGGCACCCGTCGGCGCTCGCGCTCGCGGCGAGCATGTCCGTGCTGACCAGCATGTGCGCGGTGTGCCTGTACCAGTGGGCGGCCGGCGAGCCGCACTGGCGCCAGTGGCAGCCGGGGGCGATCCGGCGACGCCGCCGCGGCAGCTGCTGCCAGGTGGGCGCACGGCGCTGGACCGGGCGGCCGGCTCTGGGAACCGTACACGCGCCGGAGCCTTCTCCGCGGCTCCCGGCGGTGCTGTGCGCAGGGGCCGCCGGCGGCGTCTGGCCGCTGGCCGTGGTCGGGTGCTGTCGGGACGTGACCGCGTCGCTCCAGTGCTGGTTGTGATCGTCTGGTGACATGGCGTCGGGACAGTGACTGTGGCCGCGGTCCTCGCGTGACGCACCGGACGCTGCGGCTCTGGCGGCGGCGCCGTCGCGTCGGTGGCGCCGCCTTTCGTCGACAGCGGGGCGGCGGCGGTGGGGGCGCGCGCTGCGCGACCTGGGCGGCGCCGCTGACCCGGTGACCTGTTGCAGAAGGAGGCGGAGCCGCCGCCACAGACCGTCACCTGCGCGCCCGCCTCGGCCGTCACGCTGAAGGAGTTTCCGGCGCTGAGCGGCGACGACGGCTTCAGGGCTGCCCCCGACGGGGACAACCTGCACTCCGGCCAGACCAAGGTATGCACGGACGGCGACGTCCTGAGCTCCGCGAGGACCAAGGTATGTGCTGGCAGTGAGGGCCTGGACACCGGGCGGATCAAGGCAAGGACGCACGCAGACAACCTGCACTCAGGCCAGACCAAGGTATGCACGGACAGCGACGTCCTGAGCCCTGCGTGGACCAAGGTCCAAGGTATGTGCTGGCAGTGAGGACCTGGACACCGGGCGGATCAAGGCAAGCACGCACGCAGGACAGCCTGTATTCCGGGTCAGACCAATGTGCGGGCCCGCGTTAGTGGCACGTGTGATGTACGCGCGCATAGTGGTCACCTAGAGACCGAGCTGGTGGGTTACTGTGTTTTAGGGGCGCGTCAATGCATTGGATGTTTGCGCCAGACCAGGAGGCCGAGACAATCAAGTTACGTCAGGACAAAGATAGTCTTCTTAAGGGCCAAGGCGACCTTCACCTGACACCGGCCAAACCAGGGGAATGTACGTGGGCACTAACGAAGAGAGGGGGGTCAGACCAGCCCCACACAGCTGAGGAGGTCGTGATTACATGCGAGGCCGGAGGGCGAGTGAGTTTTACTCATTTTTGTGACCATGTGACCTGTAGTGGCCTGGCCTAGCCCATCCGTTCCACTTTCCAGATGTTACATCTGCATCCAGTGATCGCGGTTGCATATAGTGTCGGGCAACAGGAGGTGCAGCTCTTTACAAGTTGCGCATACAAAATTGTTAGGGTTTACAGACGAGCTGCTTGACTAGACGTGGTTTTCTTGGGACATGACAATTTGAACGGAATTTAGCACTCCGTATTCGGTTAAAATGAGCTCGTCAAATTGTTACCTTGCAAGAAAGGACGAAAAACGAGGCTTGGAACTAGACCCAGGTGGCGGCGTTTCAGCAACACGGGATTAAGAAAGGCTAGCGGAGAAGAAAGAAGATCATCGCATCAGCAACAGTACGAGTCGACACGTGCATTCGATCACGTGCTCGCGTGCGCAAGCAATAGATCTAGCTGTTGGCTCGAACGTTTTGTTTTAGGGATGAATTTCAGATATTGGTAGCCAGAGCAGCTAAAGACGTGAAACCAGCCGTCAAGCCTGCCTTGAGGCCAGCCGCACGGTGTAGGCGAACGTACCGGCTACAAACCTGTGAGCGATCTCGACCCTGCCCGACCCATAGGTGTGTCAGTAATCGACCGAGAGCCGGTGTCAGTGAGTGACATTGTGTCAGTAATCAACCATGCCTCAAGATGGCCGAAGTTGGTTTAAAATGGCACACTTCCAAACTTTTAAAGGGACTGGCCTACCTTTAGGGCATATTTCAAAATCATCCTCTAGTGAAACCTCAGTACTAGTTACGTCTAATAATGGCATTCGGCAATGCCACAACGGCACCGTCAGGACATAATGAGGATGTCGGTTTTAATTCTTTTCTGGTCCAAATCAGCGCTTTGCAACAGCTATTTGCTCCTTCCCTGCAGTCGCGGCCACCGTCGTCATGATTGCCACCGTGCGCCTCTATTGGTGCGAATAAAAGAGCGTTTGTGATTGGCCCAGTGAGTAAGGGCCTGTTACCGATAGGCACATTAGTTGAAGTTTGAACCAATGCGTCACATGGATTATGTGATGCCCTCGTTCCCAAAGCCGGAGTGTGCCTCGAAAAGAGTCCCTGTGGCAAACGCCATGGGGAGAAATCGAATTCATAGTATAGCGTTTCATTGAATTCTTAGGCTCCCTTTCTCCATATATTTCTCCATAGATATCTCCATAAAAAGCTCCCTTTCCGCATATATTTTTGTCTAATCGGAGTGTTAAAAGCTTTCGTAGCATTTATTGCGCAAACATTTTGACCATTAGTGTTTTGCACATGTTACAGAACACACTTGTTGGAAAACAACCAGGGGAATGAAATGTATTACTTTTATAGCGGTAAGCGGGGAGTCAAATAAACTTTCTCCCCTAGGGTCGGCGACTTCAAGCTGAAATCGTGGGTTATTTAGAGGGATTTTGAGAAAACTGGTATGACTGACAAAATCGTACGTGTCTGGTGTAACAATAAGTGAAAGGCACAAAAAGGTGGGATGCTTTCTTTAAGAAGATCTGAGCAAGTTTGAGCTTGTGCTTTTTTAAAACACCCCGAGGGCAAAAGGAAGCGAATTTGGATGACCTTTGGAAAAGGGCAGTTTTACTTTGATGTATTTGATGTTTGGTATATAGCGACCCCTAGCTGGTACCGTCCCCTCCACCAAGGCGGCGTTCTTGATTGCTCCAAAGGCAATGCGAGGCCCCAGCCGTGTGAGTTTTTGTGTCATCTGCGTGACGACAAGGCCATCCTAGTTATCACCTCGCTCGTCCCGCGCCACAACAAGCGTTTTACTGGTTGATATCATGGGTCATTGATAGCTAACAGCGTTCTGGTGGCGGCTTAGGTTGTCCGACAGCCATGCCACGGCGATCAGCGATGCTTTAAGGCCCGTGACTCATCTCGGTGAATGAACACTTGTTTTTATGACGGACCTTTTGGTTCCCGCTGCCACCTGTGATGAGAGCAGGGCTGCATTGTGACGGCTCCTCACCTGATCGAGACCCTTGCATCCCGGACGTTCACTAGCGCGTAGCACGCCCGCTGTCAATGGGTTTCCGCGGCCATCAGTGAGCCGTCGACGGCGTCGGCATCAGTGTTCCGCCTCACCGCATCCAGCCAGGTCAGCTCGTAGATGGGCATTCTCAGATATTGTGAATGCATGCACTCCTCGCCGGCAATTGCCGCCCGTCACGTCTGAGCCGGACAACGGACGTATTTCTGCGTCAGACGTTCAGTGGCATCTGTTGCTCGACAATGTACGGTGTCTGCATTCACTCCCCATGAACGACCCTCTGAGGCCTTTGAGTTACGGTACTTTGCAGTCCGTTGATTGCCTCGTCCAGCCGTTCGGGCCCACGGCCTGGTGCGGCGCGCCTCCACCTACTTGGCGAGTCCGCGACACCTCCCGGCCGCCCCTTTCCCTGAGCTCCCTGCCCCCCCCCCCCCCTGAGTGCCCCCCTCCCTGCCCGCTCCCTGAGCGGACCTGCGGGCGGGCCGTCGCCGGGCAGCCGGCGGCGATCAATGAGGCCCACGTGAGCGACGCAAGGAATCGATTGCGCGACGCCGGAGCACGCAGCCAGCTGGCCGGCCGTTCTCACTCGCACGTGTGCGCGCGGCCGGCGGCGGACGCGGCGCCGTGGCCGGCGCCGGCGCCGCGCCATGCTCGACAAGTTCCACCGCGTGCTGCGACCGGCCCGCTCGGCCGCGTACCTCCTGGTGAGGCGGGCGGGGCGGGGTGCGGGGCGTGCTCCGTGGGGCTCGGGTCGATTCTGCAGTGCCTTGTGCAACTCCTCACGATTTCATACGCTCAATGGTGACTTGGGGTCGAGGAGCGCTTCGTTGCACTGCTCTGTTGGCGCTCGGTGCTGTGCTGCTCGCCGGGATGCCGCGTGCTCGGCTGGAAGTGGGCCGGATCGCACGGGCTGGGGTTGGGCCGGGGAGCGCGCGTCAGGTGGTCACATTCAGCCGCAGTGCGTGGCCCGTGTGCTACTGAGAGGTGTTAACAGCCCTCTGTGGCGGGTAGCGAGCCTGTGGTGCGCCGAGGAGGCGCCTGCTGATGGGTCCTCAGGGGTTAGCGTGCTGCGTGCGTGTTGTGGTGTGTCGTGGCGGGTGGCCAGGTGGGCGGGCGGCTGGTACGGACGTAATGAGGCTGTTCGTCCTCATCGGGCCCCGAGGAGACAGCCGGCGTTCACGCGAGCAGCTCACGTATCCCGACCTGCCTCGAGGGACGGAGGAGTACCCTTGGGAGAGGCCACGCGTGTCCGGTCCAGTGTCGAGGGACGGAGAATCGGTCTCGGGAGAGGCCTGTGTGTCGGGTCCAGTGTCGAGGGGACAAAGGATTACTCTTGGGGAGCGGCCGGCGTGCAATGTAC